GCTGCTACCTGGGGAGGGAGATCTTAGCCCCGGGGGCAGGCAGACCATCGTGCCTGTCAGCACAGGGAGGAGGCCTGGCAAAGATACCTGGGGAAAGCTACTTTGGTGTCCGCCTCTTACCTTTCCTGTCAGCTTCGAGGAACGTTTCAGCTTCACAGAGGAGATTCCCTTGGAGAGTCTGTTGTCCCTTCTGTAGCCTCCCTACAATAGACATGGCCATGACAGAAAATTAGTCCAATGCCCAAAGCACAGTAGAGACCAGTGAATTAAGGAATGGCAAGCAGGGTCCGAAATGCTGATCTATGTGATGGAAATCCCCATTAACCAACGCATCCTCTCTACAGTGCCAGTGCCTGCAGATGGAGTGCTTTTGGGCAGTGTTATATGGACATACTGAGCCAGACCCTTAGCTGGTGTCAATCGAATTCAGTGGAGCTACAGTGACTTGTCTGAATACTGCATACAGATGTCGTCGCCTCATCTCAAAAAAAGATATATTGGCATTGGAAAAGGTTCAGAAAAGGGTAACAAAAATGATGAGGTGTTTGGAATGGCTCACATGTGAAGAGAGATTAAAAAGACCTGGACTTTTGTTTGGAATGGCTCAGATGTGAAGAGAGATTAAAAATACCTGGACTTTTCAGCTTAGAAAAGAGAAAACTAAGAGGGATATGATAGAGGTCTATAAAATCATGATGGGTATGGAAAGGAAAAGTTATTTACTTATTCCCACAATATAAGAACTAGGGGTCACCAAATGAAATTAATAGGCAGCAGGTTTAAACACACAAAGGAAGTTTTTCTTCACTCAGCGCACAGTCAACCTGTGGAACTACTTGCCAGAGAAGTGGTGAAGGCTAGGACTTTAACAGGGTTAAAAAAAAAGCTGGATAGCCATCGATGGACCTAACCTCCATGAATCAATTAGCCAGGATGGGTAGAAATGGTTTCCCTAGCCTCTGTTTCTCTGGAAGTGGGTGATAGGGGCGTGCATATTACCTGTTGTGATACCTCCCTCTGGGCATATGGTATTGGCCACTGTTGGCAGACAGGATACTGGGCTAGCTGGACCTTTGGTCTGACTCAGTATGGCCGTTCTTCTGTGTCAGCTGAGGACCAATTTCATTCACTTTCCACTCTACTGGGTCTATTTTTGTTTTCTTTGCAAAGAAAAGTACTACAGGTTTTACCCCTCTAGTCCTAGCACCAGCAGGAAGCCAACCCCCTGACAGGCCCTGCTGGGTCACCAGACAGAAATTGGGCTCTCACTAAGCACTGCTAGCTGTGTGGCTTTGGCCCTAGTTAAAGGCACAAGTCAGGATCCTCCAGGAACACAAAGAGGAAGCGACTGGCCCCAGCCCTCACTTGTATCACTTGCACGTCAGCTAACTGCTCAGACCCTGCTGAGGTGTGCTACAGAAAACCGGACAACAGGCAATTTCTTATGCAGCACACACCCTCTCTGCTATCCCCATACTTTTCCTGTAAGTCGCAGGCATGGGCAGCTCTAGAGCACCAACCCCCAGCAATACTGAGGCCACCTTCAAGTCAAGAGAAAAAAGACTTTTATCAGTGTCGGTTGTTCTCCACCTGCACTGCCTCTGCGGATCCATACTGTCGGTGCCCTCCTAGAGGGCCTACATGACTCCTACAGGCAGGATCTCTGGAGACAGGCTCCAGATGGAGTAAAAAGTTGCTTCCAGCTACAACCACTTGGGAAGAGAGACAATTACAACAACTAGTTCAAAGAACTCTAAGATGTTATTAAAACTGCCAGTAAACCTATCCTAAATGAGCTCTAAAGGCTGGGTCAGCTTGTCATGTGGTCAGTCATCTAGGAGTCTACGATGCTGAGACTCTTCCCTCTGCCATTGTGCTGCCGTGCTGAGTGGGGAGAGAGATTAAGGAGCACTCATAGGCTTTGTTGCTCCCGCATTTAGCGCACACCCATAGCCCGCCTGGAACACTGTCAGCCTCACTGGAGGAAACTGCAGCCTGTTCTGCCAGCAGGGGTAAAACCATTCACATACCAGTTGCAGGGATTAAACACTCTGCCCCCAGCACTGGAGAGCCTCAATCTGAGCCATTATGAGAATAAAGGCGTCTCCCTCTTACCGGCTGTGGAGTGTTGTTGCCCGTAAGCTGGACTTGGCTTTTCTTGCCAAGTGTGTCGTAGATCTGGGTCATCACAGAGCTGCTCTTGCTGTTGGTGTTCTTAGCGAACATTACCGGCTCTGAGAGCTCGCCCATGAACCGCAGGATGATGTTCCACACAGCCAACGAAGCCTGGAACACCAGGAGACAGATACGGGGTCAGACTGATATGGGGAACGGCAGGCTCCTAGACACACACAGGCACATACACGTCGCTCTTCTGGCTTCCCCCATCTACTGCTCAGGCAGGTAAAGCCCTGTTCTCCGAATCATGCCCGTGGGATGTTTTCCTAGACCCTCAGGTCACAGGTGAGCAATATTCAAGTGCCCCCAGTGCAGAAAGGACAGGGCATGAAGCTGCATGTGGCTCTGGTGGGAATGTTAGTCCTGGCTGATGCTAGGACATTAGGCAGATATAACTACATCACTCGGGACAAATCCACATCCCTGAGCGATGCTGTCAGACCAGCCATCCCTTGGTGTAGGCAGTTTTCCCACTGTCCTAGCTCCTGCCTCTCAAGGTGCAGTACCCATGCCAGGGGGAGAGCCCCCCATCAGTATAGGCAGTGTCTTCACTCACATGCTGCTGTGCTGCTGTCTCTGTGCTGTACGTGTAGGAAAATCCTCACACTCGCTGTATCAGACAGCTGCTGTGGTGAGGCAGCTTTTTGAATCTTGTGGGGGGAGGGAAATACAGGATTGGGCTGGCAAGTGGGATGGGAACCTTAGCTGAGCCAGAGTCTGCACTTACTCGGGGTGGCAACCAGCATTTCAACTTTCCCAAGAACCCTGAGGACTCCAACCTGCCAGGCAGTGATGAGAAATCTGTTGCAGAACTGGGACCTTCGTTTTCTAAGGCTGCTAAGTGAGAGATCCCAGAACGCCTCATCCCTCAGCAGCAGGAGCAGGGTGATGGGAAGGCAGGGACTGTGCTCTCCCTCAACTTCACCTCAAAGACCAGAAGCTGGGCGAAGGGCGATCCTGAAGCCCTTTCCACCTCCCCTGAGCAGCAGAGGTCAGGGGAGTCCCATCCTTCGGTACAGTGAATGGCAGGGCTCTCTCCCATGCAGCCAGTACTAGGCTGTGGGCAGTGCCTGCCAGCGGAAAGCAGAGACTCAGCCTGTAGGGCACATGGAAATTGCTAGTCCCACTGTGGGCCTCAGGAGTGTCTCTTTGGTGCTAGAGTTTCCCCTGCTTGCAGCCCCTTCTCAGGGAATGACCAGCTTGTTGGAGGCGAGGAAAGGCAGGCCACGGAGCCAGGCTGGCTTAGCAGGGGCACTGCAAGGAAGGAACATGGTACCAGGATATCATCCTTCTCGTCGTGGTAGAGCAGCGGGTGGCGCAGCGGCTTCCGCATGTGCGTGTGTGTAGAGGATCCTTGAAAGTAAGTGGCAGCAAACTTTGGAAACGTGTACTCTGCCAGGTCATCAACCTCCTCTTCCAGCTGTACACTCATGGGAAGCATGTCCAGGTCCACCTCGTCCAGCATGCCTGCCTTTGCTTCCAGGTCCTGCACAGAAAGCAGACAAGATCACCTTTCCTTTCTCCCTGCATCGTGTATTTTGATTCCTCCCTCCCAGTTTTGCCAGAAAAAGCCCTTGGGATCCCAGCCAGGTGGTTCTAAGTTAATATCAGGGCTACTTCCAGTGGAAATGAGGAGTAACGGTAGTTCGAACTAGGAAGCCTAGTTCGAACTACCTAGTTCGTGCCCCGTGTAGCCACGCTGCACGGGGTTCGAACCAGCGGGGTTTTAAAAATGGCGGCTCCCCGCTTATGCAAATGAAGCCCAGGTAATTCAAATCCCGGGCTTCATTTGCAAGTGCGGTATGCCTACATTACCCCGCTAGTTCGAACTAGGAGGGTAGTGTAGACATACCCTCACAGAGATGAAGTTAGCTCTCTTAAGGCTTGCTTAAGCCATTCTGCCACCTCAGAGTAAACATCCCGGCTGTGTCTAGACTGGCCAGTTTTTCTGGAAAATCAGCCGCTTTTCCGGAAAAACTTGCCAGCTGTCTACACTGGCCGGTTGAATTTCCGCAAAAGCACTGACTTCCTACTGTAAGAAATCAGTGCTTCTTGCGGAAATACTATGCTGCTCCTGTTCGGGAAAAAGTCCTTTTTGCGCAAGAGGGCCAGTGTAGACAGCTCAGATTTGTTTTCCGCAAAAAAGTCCCGATTGCAAAAAGTGCTTTTGCGGAAAAGCGTCCTGCCAATCTAGACGCTCTGTTCCGAAAATGCTTTTAACGGAAAACTTTTCCGTTAAAAGCATTTCCGGAAAATCATGCCAGTCTAGATGTAGCCCCTCTATGCAAGTGGGAGGGGTTCGTCCCTTGGCATAGCTAATCTGCTTCCCCAAAAGGTGGTAGCTTGGTTGGTGGAAGTGCCCTCCGTATGAGGACTTGGGCTCGGCTTAACGACACCTCAGGGGTGTGAATTTTTCACACCTGAGATGGATGTAGTCAAACCAACCCAATTTTCTAGTGTAGACATCTTAGCTCTCCTTGCTCTGGATGGAAGTTTCCTCTCCAACTTCTCCCTGGAGCTGACAGCTCAAGGTGATATCCAGGAGTAGATACCACATCCTGCCAAATGTGTGTGCCTTGGAAAGGAATGTAATTACCAAGTGGGAGAAGTTCCAAGGCATGTCTCCCAGTGCATGGATAATGGGCTGGCCTTTTATGGAACATCCCCCTCCACAACCTAGATACTGTGTGTAAAACAAGGTCTGCCTCCAGAAAAAAACACTAATTCATTCTTTCATACAAGCTCCACAGTTCAGGATCACTCTGCCTCAGTCTTGTTTTCAAATTGCACAGGAAATGCATGCATGAAGTGTAAAAGACTAACAAAATTTTTAAAACAACTAATAGTCTAGCAGCACCTTAAAGACTAACAAAACATGTAGATGGTGTCATGAGCTTTCATGGGTACAACCCACTTCTTCATATGAATGGAGTATTAAAAGACCAGTTCCAAAATAAATAGAGGATGGGGAACTAGACTTTTAATACTCCATTCATCTGAAGAAGTGGGTTGTTCCCACAAAAGCTCATGTTATTCTTTAAGGTGCTGCTAGACAATTAGTTATTTTTTAAGTTTCTGCAGTTACAGGGCTAACTTGGCTGCCCCTCTGAAGGTTTTGAAGAAAAAAGCTGCAGTCAGAGTAACAGGCCCTGAGAGCAGAACAGAGAGAGAGATGCAGAATGAAGAGGCTGGCATGGGCTTGCTAGGGTCTGGCAGTGCAAAGGGACTGGCATTATGTGACCTCAGGAAGCACAGAACTCTCAAGCAACGTACAAGATTCAAGCTTATGCTAATTGAGCTACTAATGAGCTTCCCCGGGATGTCAAGTGCATGCGATCGTGTGACTCGAGAGGGTCACTTAGCTCTTCTCTTCTGGTCTCTTTCATTGCTCCCATTTTCACCTTATAAAAGCCGGTTATGCCAGATTTATCTTTAGTGCAATTTCAGCAAAGGCCAGGACGTGACACGAGATATGGATCTAGCCCATCATGGCTTTGCTGCCCTTTACCTCGAATCCCAGAGGCGACTGCCCTTCTTGGCCTCCAATCACAGTAGGCAGAAAACCAAACATTTTATCCACCATTTCCTGGTCGCTGATAGCATCATAAAGCGGTTGTTTGTCGGAGAGAGAATTGTGTTTCCTTTGCTCCTCCTCTCTCTCCAGAGCTGCCAGGTGCTCCTTTAAACAGACAAAAGGCACATTAAGATTAACTGTGTCCGTCTTTAGCTAGAATTAAGGGCTTGTCTAGAGTATGGACATTTGAACTACATGGATGTAGTTCAACCAGTGCAAACTCCTAATGCAGACATACTGCACCAGTGCAAAATGGTGCTTGTAGTGGTGAGTCACACCTCAGTAGTGCATCTGCACAGGAGATCTGGGCCCAAGAGCGACACAGCCCAGGTTGTAAAAAATAATTAAATTACACACTAGAAATGAGACATAAAGCCAAAATTGTCAGTGGTGTGACTCTGAACCCCCTCACCCTGGCATAATTCGGGAGGCAGTGAATCATACCAAGCTAATACTGGAGTAAAGTGAAATCAGAATCAGGCCCCACATTTTTCTCCTCTCCACCATCACAAAAAGTCACTTTTGTTTAGGTAGAAGGCTATAAAGGCGATAGATCCCCATGTTTCCACCTCTTCCTCGAAACAGGTAGCAATGCTTTTATAGGGGAGAGGGAAATAGTTTCAGATCCCAAATGACTAACAGATTACAGTGGGTGGATTATGGGATATTACAAAAGAAAATATCAGGAAGTCAGTTAACCGTCACTTACTGGTGTATAATAAACTGTAAGAAACTAAACCCGAGATTCCAAAAACTGGAAGCCTAAAGTTGAATGGAGTAGGCACCTGGCTGGAGGTGCTCATTTATGTTTTGCTTTAAATCTTGGCCCAACCAATGCCACTCTACGGGACAGCCGTGTAAACAGCTGCTACAGGGAAAGCACAGAATCCCAAACCCTTACACGAAGAATGTGGCTAAATATTTGGTGACATGTTGGCATGGGCAATCTGGGCAAATGAGCCAGTACATTGCAGCAAACAGACTGGCACGAGCAATGTGGGGATGCATGCAGGCAGGTAAGCACGTGAGACCTGCTTGCACGGTTCCTACTCACCACAGAACTGCATGTTATGACTTTTTGAAAGTGAAGCCCTGTGAGTGTGCGCATGGGGTTGGGCAAGTGTGTGTGTGCGTTTGATGGTGTGGGGTGTCTGGGAACACTCACGAGAACTCTGCATTCCTCCCTCAAAATCCTGACACCTACCTTTTCTAGCTTCATGGCTTCTTGCTTTGCTCTCATTGACCCGATGATAGGGATGAGGCGTTTCTCCTCTTCTAAGCCTAGCCGTCTGGCTTCTAGTCTGTGCTGGTGCTGCAGGGAACAGTCATGCGCTATGATTCTTCTCCACCCTGCTTTGCTGGCTGCAGTCTGCCATCAGCCAAGAAGCCGGGGTGGCTGCTAGCCAAAGATGTTAGTAATAGCCACCAGGGGCTGCTCAGTGGGAATAGGGCCCAGATACAGGCGGCCCCCAACTTGTGACACGATTGGTTCCCGGGGAAGCATCGCAAGTCAGGGGCGTCGTAACTCGAACCCTCATTTATGATAGGTGCCGTGTGCCGTTGTAAATGTGGGCCGAGGACGTAAGTTGGGGTTTTCGGACCCTTCCGCACTTACAAAAATGGTTGTAAGTACGGGGGGGGAGGTCATAACTTGGGCAGTTGAAAGTCGGGGGTTTCCTGTACACTAACACCACTTGGATGTTAAAAAAATCTTTTCCAAGAACTTTTGCATTTGGTATGCTCCAGTTTGAAATGGGCAGCTATTCAAAGGAGAGAAATGCCCAGGAGGTTTACTGGGGCTCAACAAGCTTTCTCACTGTCCGCTGCAAGAGGCAAGGACTGAAGGTGCGTTTACCACCCTGCCCCCTTTACAAATTCTTGTAACGATGTTGCTGACAGTAAGAGAAAGTGAACTGATTGTCCAAGTCCACGCTAAGTCTGAACCAGGAAGCGTATGAGGAAGGCGCTGCCCTGGTGACCTTGCTTGGGAATAAGTGAGAAAAGGAAGAAGAGAAAACCCCAGATTTTTCCCTCTAGGCATGCTTTTGGTCAGGGCCAACCCTACCATGAGGCGAACTGAGGTGGCCGCCTCAGGTGCCAGACTGTGGGAGGGGGTGCCAATAGGACCCAGAGTGTAGAAAATTGTGTCTGCTGCTGGTGCGTATGTATTCTCTCCGCTCTAGATGCACAGAGATGGTGGCGTGCTGTGCTGGAGGAAGGAGGGCACAAGAGACCTTTTAAAGTTCTGGCCCAAGCGAGGGAGCATGAGGGCATCATTTGAGCTCCCCGCTTTGGGTGCCAAAATGTTGAGGGCTGGCCCTGCTTTTGGCTTTTGGCAAGTAGCAGTGGCTGAATGAAGGAACTGGAGGACAGTGGGGTCAAAGTTGAAGGGCATCTTTTAACTATGTATTTTTTATAATAAACATGTTAGAAAAGCCATAGACAGAAATAAGGCAGACTGGACAGTGCCAAGCCAGCAGGGACCTTGCCCAGGATTGGAACGCCTCGATGCTACTACAATGCAAATAATGAATGAGTAGTTTTGTCCAGGGCAGGGTATATCTCATTGGAGAATGCAGTGCAATCTGATTTCTATCGAGGCCATATCAGGCCCTGTTACAGACACTGATTTACTTTTTCAGAAGTTACTGGAACATATTATCATACAAGATTTTTTTCTCCTTCCTCCCTGCCTCCCACCCAGAAATATTCCTGAACTCTTTGATTTTTAAAACGAAATGCATTGTATTTTTTGCAATTTCCCCAAGTGATTATGTCCCACATCTGCAAAGCCCCTATTTTAATAAGCACAGAGAACAGATGTGCATGAGATCTGTATGCTAAAGACCCTGCTTTCATACCTGTCAAGTCCCTGGAGAGCCATAGTCATGCTAAATGTAGGATTCTCCACCAAAGAAACCATCTTGCAGTCAACTCTATGGGGACCCCTTAAGAACTCACCCGGGAACACTGTTATCAAGGTGGGGACTGGTTGCCTAGAGGAGCCTGCTGCTCCCCATGCTTATCAGAGCACCCTAGAAGCAATGTCATGTTTCAGAGATGCCTGACTGTGAACACATACCTCTCTCTTCATCCTCTGGAAACTCCTACGAACAAACATACCCCTGGCATATGCCTGTATAACACACACAGCCTTCATCTGCTCCGCTGTCTTCTTACGCATCAGGTAACCTCGGCACAAGGCCTGAAACTTAACCACACTGGCCCGGGCTGTTTTGTACTGCTTGGCAAGTTGCCGGCTCCGGAAGAGGGACTGCAGGCGCTCGAAGCCCAGCAGCACCTGCAGCAGGTGGAGAAAAATGAGCTGAAGTGATTAGGCTTGATGCAAAAAAGTCCAGGCCCGTGTTGGGCTTGATAGAGGATAACAAGCTCTGTGGCTATCCTGGACAGAGACTCAGGACAACGAACACAGCTACCGGAAATGACGGCTCGAGTGACTGCTTTATTCCTGCCCCATGCAGAGCTCTTTAAAGGGGTTTGAAAGAGCCTCCGTGCCCTACTGTGAATGTAGGGAATGGCATAAGTCCCACAAGACTGGGGAGTGGGGCGGGGAGAGAACAGGAGTGGAGAGAGCTGAATGGAAGAAAACGGCCTTCCTGGGACTAGCTAGGGTTAGCGGCTTTACTAATAATGGCCCAATGAGGGTGAAGATGCTCCAGAACCCTGTTGGGCCTAACCCCTCCTCTCCATACACCAGCACTTTGCCCTGTCTCTCTCATTACTGAGCAACTGCTCTGCACGCCGCACACAGCTACGCACAGCACAACAGTCACAGTCCCTCGGGGCCCGGCCCCCCTTGCTTACCAGTCGGAAATTCTTCCTGCCGTAGTAACCCCGCCAGGCTGCCTGCAGCTTCACAGCAGCCTGCCTCTGTTTCAGAAACTGCTTCCTAAAAGCAGATGGGCAAGGAAGCGTGTTAGTCAGCTAGGCAGTCCTGCCATTTCTTATATACAACTGACAAGGGCAAGGATCAGGAATGAAGCAAGAGCTCTTCCCTCTTCACCCATACTCACCATGCTCTGCTCCCTGCCTACCTTCTCTCAGTCACAACATCCAGGCTGCCCACACCCCATGCTCACGGATGGTCAGGCCAGAAGAAACCATTCTGATCACTTAGCCTGACCCCTTGCATAGTGCCAGTCAGAGATTCACTCACGCGGCTCAGCTCTCAGCGCAAGTAAAACAGCCGAGTGGATTAGACAAGATCCAAAATCTTGTCACGTGCACTTTGCATCCACTTGCTGCTGGGCAGGAGGAGAGTCTAGGGGTCAGGAATCCCTACTGATTGACCCATGAGGCTCCAGTAATGTTCTCAGCTATAGCTCCAGGGCACTGCTGGAGTAGCTCCACAGAATGCAGTGTTCTGCAAGAGCTGAAAACTGTGGTTTCCAGAACTCAAACCTAGCTAAGTTAATCCTACGCGCCTGATCACCATATGCCAATAGCTTAAGTTATAACTGATAACATTTGCAAAACTCATCTGAATAAGCCAAACTTCCCATAGCAAAAGCTCTTCCAGGAAATGCACGGTTTCTGATAGACGCATTCCCAAACACAGGTAGGGCACTTCACTAAAACGGTCAGAGTTAGATTAATCAAATAAGCGATAAATCAAGCCTTCAGGAATCTGAGCAGTTGAGAACAGGTATGTGCTAGTAGATAAGTCAACGCAATGTAAATTGAGTTTAACCAGAACTGGACAAAACATTAGGAACCATAATTATAGGGAACAATCCTGCCCTGCCAGGGAGAAGAACTGAATAGCCCAGTGGTTCTTTTCTACCTATGAGCTCTAAGAAATAAATATTTTACAGATTGGGCCATTCTGCAGATGAAAGGAAGATACTGATTGCAGTGGATTTCAAACACTAATGAGGCTTATCCCATTGTTCACTAGACACTGATACATGCAAATTCTCCTGCCAGCTTGATTTATTGATCATTCTTTCACATGCATGCAAAGTGCTGCGTGGATTTTGCAGGGCACTGAGATAAACTTAAACAGAAACATAAGAAGTCTATGAGCAAAATCTTTGCCTCACTATTTATGTCTCCATCGGTATGTGATCTGAGTGCCAGAGGGGTCTAATTTAAGGCCAGTGGAATCTGAGGATCGATATAGTCAATGCTTTATTTACGTTATGCTGCACCCCCGGGAGAACAGTCTATGAATTTTTACAACTCTCTCTACAGTTCTCATGCTCTTTAGACGTGCTCACCTGTCCTTGAATCCCCTCAGCACCTTCTGGATCAGAATGACCTTTTCGGTGAGCGCCTTGTCGCGCTGTACCTCCAGTACCATATCATGATAATCCTGTTCAAAGAGGTCGTAAATATACATTCATTCACAATTTCAAGACAGAACCTCCAGAAACTTGACACAATGGGCAGCCTCTGTGTTAAAGAGGCCCAGAACTTGGCATCGATGTGCATTTCTGGATTTGGACAGAGAACGTTTATACAGCACCTGGCCACGCTGTGCCTGCCAGGCCCCACTGTAACATGCTCTGCACCCTCAGGGCCTGAGCAGGGAGCCACAAAGTGCTATGAGCAGTGCCATGGCGCTAACAGGAAACAGGTGTGGGTGAGTGAATCAGCCTCTTATAGGACAAGCCATTTGATGGCACAGTGATGCACAAGGGCCAAAGAACCGGCTTATTTCTCCTTAACGGGAGACTCAAAGCTGTCCTAAAAAAATGTCACGCACCATTTTTTTCCTTTAAGAGGAAGCAAATGGCTTTTGTTACTTACTTTGAGGAAAATCTTTGTTCTTCCAGTTTTCCAATCTTCATCTTTTCCTAGAACTGTCTCAGAAATGTAAATGCAGCACCGACGAGCATCACCCTGCAGCTGATGGGGAAAAATTGTTGTCACCCTGGGGCTTGGTTACAAATACAGAAATTGCAGGCTCTTAAACAGCCACGATCCTGGCATTTCGAAGGGTGAAGAACAGAAGTCTGAGGTCTGAGAGGGCTTGGGATTGAGAGTGCTCAATGAAGACATGGCTCAGGTTGAAAGGGCTCCAGAACCGAGAGCAAGAGGAAATTGGTGAATGTTCTGAAAAGTCCTGGTATCCAGAGACAGGGGCCTGGGAATATTTCAGCTCAGAAATCAGGGTGCGGAGAATGAAAGTGCTTTAGATCTGGAATGATGTGCTTGGCTGGGACATTTGCAGGAACTGATCCCAGGATTTCTGGATCTAAAAGCCTGAGCCTTCACTGCTTGAGCTAAACAGAATGTGGAGAACAGAAGCACTTAACCCTGGTTAGCCGTTACCCATCACTAGTATATGTGAGCGGCGAGCTGAGGCCATTTTAGGTTTAAAGCTTAACTGTTAAACACAATATATTGCCCTCAAGCCTTATGAGGAAAAGTCAGTTAATCAAGTTCTCGTGGACACACCTGTTCTCGAGCGGAAACTGGCAACAGGGCTCTGTATCTCTCGAAGAACTCAGCGAAGCTGTAGCGAATTGGGTAGCCAGCCTTCCTAATCCGAATAGTTTCCATCATTCCTGAATAGCGCAGCTGTCGGGTACACAGCTCCCGATCAAACAACTGAAAGGACAGATGGACATGAAGAAATCTATCACAGAAACAAACTGTCCCTGTAACATTCCTTAGAGAGCACCTGCAGATACCAGAGTGGTTTCAAAATGAACTACTACACTCTTTTCTGAATTGCCTTTATTTAAATCAAGGCACCAAATTCATTGCTGGTGTAAGAAAAGGACGTCCAGGAAGCTGCATATTTGCACATGCCAGCAGCAGAAATGATCCATTAACTTGAGTCTGATATTTAAAGGCCATTTCCAATTCTGCATCTGCGCTTTTAGACTCATGAGAAACTGAGTTTTCTTTTGTAGGTTGCAAACAACTGCAGGACCAGTTTGTGACACTTCCTAACTGATCCCAGAAATCAGCTAGATACAGGCAGTCCCCGGGTTACGTACAAGATAGGGACTGTAGGTTTGTTCTTAAGTTGAATCTTTATGTAAGTCGGAACTGGCGTCCAGATTCAGCCGCTGCTGAAACTGACCTGCGGCTGACTACAGGAAGCCCGAGGCAGAGTTTCTCTGCCCTGGGCTTCCTGGAATCAGCCGCCGATCAATTTCAACAGCAGCTGAATCTGGACGCCTGGGACAGAGCAGCTGGGGGGGCGCCCGGGAGGGCCTCCCCGCGCCGCACCCCGGG